GATTCCATCTAATAATTAGAGATTAATAATGGATCGAATTTGTTAGTAAATATTATTTATTATTTGTAATTTTTGTGTAACAGAGGAATATGATTTTGTTTAAGTTATCAAATTGCCTATCAATTAGTATAGTGATAAAACATTTAGGTATAAAGTACAGGACGAAAATTAAAATAGTAGCGACCTCTGTTTAAGCTTTCTATAACAACTCAAATCCTGCTGGATTTCCATTTTCAATCATTTTTTGTTCTGCTGGTGATGCCAGTTAAATTAAAGTATTTAATTAATTCTACATGTAAGTGCGACCATTTTTTTTAATTATTATTGAGAGGAATTGAACATAAAATATTCTTATTATTTATCGAACTGCACAGAACATCGAACTGGTTTACTAGCGACATCTAATGATCAGTATAGTACATAAAACACATCGAATCAATATCTCCCCAATATAGAATACGGTTTTTGGCGTACGAACATAAAATTATTTCATAGAATTAGCATTAAGAAAGGTTTTATTCAAACTAAAAATGAATACAAAATATAAAAATATACTTAAATCAGCGATGATTTTGTTGTTAACATCATGCCTCACGTATCTTCGCTCAAATTATTTTGATCCTCTAAACCTCTTATAGTTTTCGAGCTACAGGGTGCTAAAATTTTAGAAAAAAAAATTTTTCTATAATTTTCTTATTACTCCAGTTATTTTTAAGAAATTTGGTGTACACTTTTTAATTATTAAGGGTTTGATTTTTTTGAATTAAAGATTTTTTTAAATTTTCACCAGTGACGTCCGTACACCACTGCTTTTTATAAAAACTAAAATTATTCTTAAAATCCTCATTTATTTTGTAGCAAATTCGGTCAGAAGACTTATTTTCGTACGGCGCACCATTTTCGCGTAAAAAAATAAAAACTAAAACCATTTTTCCCAAGTTCATTATGAGACTGCTTTTGATATTTTGTTAAAATTTGATAGGCGCCCACCATGCATGGAAACACTTTTTTTGGGGATAGAAATTAATTTTCTACTATTATCAGTGACGTCCACGTCCGAAATTTCATAAAAATATCTGCCGTAATAAGAAAATTATGATAGAAAAGTTATTTTTTTCTAAAATTTTAACACCCTGAAGCTCGAAAACTAAGAGGTTTAGGACATACATTGATATAAACTTTTCTTCTTAAAATCATCCAAATATTCACAACCTGAAGTATCGGCATTCAATTAATTAACACCCTGTATAGGGACGTGGAGAGAAGTAAATAAAACAAAGTAGATATTTACAATTAAAGTTTAATTTGACATAAGATTTTGTTAGATAGCTGATTGGGTTCTGAACACATATGTCGACAGTAAGACTGCAATTTAGTAGGTAGATACTAACAATTCTTTTCAATTACATTTTCTGTTTGGTTTCTAATGTTACATTCAATGAAACGAATCGAACACACCCCATTTTGAGCCTAAACGGGGTGTCTCGATAGCATTTTTTACACATTTTGGTTATTCGTCCAATACGAATTCAGACGTTAATATAAATTAATTAACTATATGAAAACGGCATTCTTTTTGGATTCAAAACGGTCGAATTGTTGCCTATAATTTTAACTAGTTTTCATGGAAAATCAATGTACATTTTCGAATGGCAACAATTCAAGTAGGTCGTGTGAAATTCACTAAAACTAAGCAAAACGAGCGCCATCTTCAATAACACCCATCTTCAGCAACCCCTAAAACGCCAAATGAAATACTGGTAAACGTGACTCTTACCCTAAAAAAAAACTCGAAATAAAATTCGTGTCGGGCGAATTTAGAGGCAACCTTTAAAATCAAGGAAGATTCTTCAACAATTCAATAAAATGAATAAAGTTAAACTGTAACGCATTTAAAGACTTTCTTTAACAACTAACACATAATATATTGCTAGACATTAATAGAGTCACAACTAATTGAGTCGATATCGATTTTTTTTGTCAATCTATACACATAGATTAATTCAATTCTACTAGAATGGATTCAAGTAATTTTTTGAGGCAATATCATATAAAAGAAAGAAAACTATTAGTTACTATTAGCTTTACTAATAACTACTTAAAATATAAATGAAAGCTTTACTATTTCAGGTTTTATTTAACAAATTAGTGTAAATTATAATTTGGTGACTCATAATTACTTAAAACCACCAGACTCGTTCGTGTTGACATTTCAATGGCCTATCTATCTTTCTTGCGCATTTTCTTTATGGATTTCTAGAGACGAAAATGAGCAATTACTCTTTAGAATATTTTTTCCAAGTGAAAATATCGTTCAAAATTCTCGAAAAATCAGAATAGTATTCATTTGTGCTGTTTCATTTCGTTAAATCTGATATGTTTTCAACATTATCTGTACTGTAGGGAAGAGAGGAATTAAATCAAACAGATGCAATTCAATAAAAAAATTGACATTGAGCGATTTTTTCACTGCACTTTTTTTTCCTAACCGAAATATTGACAGAAGCTACAATTTTATTATTCCTCAATGCATAACATACATAGAAAAACTTCTATCACATTAACGTGTTAGATATATTACAATCAGACTTTCGTCGAGAGTTTACGAAATGACAAGTCATTTCAATTCTAAACTTTAAATAAGTTCAATAGGAATGGAAAGGAGTACGACTTTCAGTGACTTGACACGTCACGAGTCAAAATTTTAAATTTAAAAAGACTATATTTCCTAAAATATTGAATATTTTCAGCAACTGAAATCTGCTTCGAGTTCTAATGACTTATTTCTATTCATATATCTGGTTAAAAACTCATCGTACTCCTCTCCAATAAGCTTGAACTTGCTTCGTGTATATGTAATACATGGTGTGTCTATTCAGTATTTAATAAATCCCGATGGTGATAAAGGATTCTAAGATGCAACTTTAGATCTGCAAGGTGTATTTTCCACTCATTGGGTTATGGGAATAATCGAAAATGATCAAGCCTAAAAGGAAACTTGTTTAAAGTCCCTCTATTGTCAACAGGATTTATTGAATAGTTATTAGAAACACCCTGTAATTTCATTCCGATTTGTTCCTAACAAAAGTTTAAGAATAGTTAAGACATTTGTTAAGTACCAGAAAACTTCACCTTCGACCACCAGGAACGTATTCTTTTTGAGTACGTAATTTTCCAGTTATAATTAAGCAACTATATACAAACTATTCAATATCAATCTAATTAATAATTTTCCGAAAAAATAAATTCGTTCGATCCTATGTTAATAAAAACAATTTCATTTAAATTTTTACAACAACGACAAAAGAGTCCCTGACTAAAATAGTTTTATGAATTGACATCAAAATCCTGCGTACGGAACAAAATTGTTTTCTCTCAATCGAATATTTTATCTCACAGCAAATCGAGTTATGTTTCCCTGCAAAATTCCAAGACGAAAATCGCGAGTTTTGCCGAGACGAGTTGCCTACATATCTCGTTAATTACACTATTCATATTGTCTTTAATTTCAATTATTTCAACTCAAAACGAATTATTGTAATTGCTTGAAACGTCTACCTACAGAGTTTCATAAAATTACGAGAAATGAACTTGTTTATCGTATTTCGATGTTTCAATGCGAGTATGCAGTCGAATTTTATAAAACTCCGATTCGAACGAAGAACACCCACTGAAACCCTCCATTCGTCTATCTCCTCGAGGACACTATATTCTTTCGTCATTCGTATCTGCCAAAAAGAAAAACATCTCACTCCCAAAAATCTATTCTAGAAAAAGATGATGTTAGTTATCTCGTTACAACAAAAACACGCTTGGTTTAACTCTCATCGTTGACAATTCAATCACAAAACGGCCGTTTTGGAATGCCTTTACGAAATTATTCTGTGTAAGAATTCGAAAATTTTGGGAGAAAAAGACATTTTTCTTTTTTAATGTTGATGTTATAACGAGATTAAGCTACGGTGAACTATAAAGTACTAATCTAAAAATGTTCTACTACGCTACAAAACACTCGGGGTATTCGGATTTATTTTTTTTAGGTACAATCAGTTCAGATATGGATTCACGAGGGACAAAAAAAGTCATTTTTTGAAAATATCAACGTACGTTTTGCGTAACTTCTTATATAACATTTATTTATCGAATATGATTGTCAATATTTGTAATACTCTTTGGATTATTTTAAATACTTGAAGAAGAGAAATAAAAAGAAAATTAAATAAAAAATGAGCAGTGCACTATCAAGTAAAAGGCTGCATACTAGATTAAATGTAGTGCTGTTTGTGTTAAAAATATTAAGTACATAAGCTTAAAAATGCACTTCATTTAATTTAAAGTTAATTGTGTTAAAAGCGAGTGATGATTATGTACAAAAAATCTTACAGTAAGAGGGAAGCAAACGCCACATATGGAAATATTATATTCAATTACCTACAGTGAATTCTTCTTAAAAATTAATTCGTCAACAATGATTTACAATTTAGATATTTCCATTAAAAACTACCACAGTAAAAGGCATTAGGGTGGACAAAAGTAATACTAGTAACTCCACTTGGTGCTTTAATTACCTTAAAATATTAATTATATACCAAGTGACTTGAAAAAGGGGTAGAAACATGCATTCTAATTGACACCGGAGAAAATGTTTATTTGTGCTCGACAGAACTACTATTCCTAAACACTGGATACTTATACATGTATTTTGTGCGATGTACCGACTAGAGTTTAATGGTAATTTGTAATTATCTTCCTAAAAAATTATGAAAAAAACTAAGATGAGAACCAAATATCAATATACGAATTTTTATAAAAATATCTCAAGAATTTCACAAAAATATTTATTTTTATATTCCCAAGATGTAACAACGACATATTTGATTTTAACGCGACTTGTTTTATTTCCAGTCAAATTGTAATGAATAAAAGACAAATTTGCAGAGGAAAAGATGTATAGGAAAACTATCAGTAAATAAAACATATTACAAAACAAAATAATAACGCGCTAAAGCAATTTATGAGAAGAAATAAAATTAATCGTAAGGGGTATTAACCGCATGCATCGAGTAACAAATTACTCCCTTCTCCTTACTATCATCATTCGATTAATTCCAGTCATACCGGATTTTCGCTAGATCAATTTCATTATCTACAAATAACTCTCGCTGAATTCGATATCTGACTGACTGCACCTCGACGACCTGGTGTAAATCGAATGCCCTCCGCCGAACGCCGAATCGGATGTTCCCGCGTCCGTGATGAAATCTGCTACAATGAGGCAGTCCTTACCTTGAGTGATTGTAGATGGCGTCGTCAACCCGCCTTTGCCGCCCGTTTCCTTCTCGGCGATGCGCTCCTTCAGCAGTTTTATTTTCTCTTCTTTCTGCCAAAAACAAACACCGAACCTTGTTAGATTCCTATTCGAATTGTTTTACCAAAGCTCAGAGAGCTTTCAAGTAGCTCTTTAGGAATATAAGGATTGCAGGAGAGTTAGGTTCAAAGGATAAGTGATAGTTGTATGAAAGATGATAGTTGCATATGATAGATCAAAGATGTATGAATGAGGATAGTTGCAGTTGATAGATGATGTTTGAAAGATGAAAGTTGCAGATGATTGATCATAGATGTATGAATGAGGATAGTTGCAGATGATAGATGATGTTTGAAAGATGATGGTTGCAGATGATAGATCATAGATGTATGAATGAGGATAGTTGCAGATGATAGATGATGTTTAAAAGATGATAGTTGCAGATGATAGATCATAGATGTATGAATGAGGATAGTTGCAGATGATAGATGATGTTTAAAAGATGATAGTTGCAGATGATAGATGATGTTTAAAAGATGATAGTTGCAGATGATAGATCATAGATGTATGAATGAGGATAGTTGCAGATGATAGATGATGTTTAAAAGATGATAGTTGCAGATGATAGATGATGTTTAAAAGATGATAGTTGCAGATGATAGATCATAGATGTATGAATGAGGATAGTTGCAGATGATAGATGATGTTTGAAAGATGATAGTTGCAGATGATAGATCATAGATGTATGAATGAGGATAGTTGCAGATGATAGATGATGTTTGAAAGATGATAGTTGCAGATGATAGATCATAGAAGTATGAATGAGGATAGTTGCAGATGATAGACGATGTTTGAAAGATGATAGATGATGTTTGAACGATGATAGTTGCAGATGATAGATGGTGTGTAATGAAAGATGATAGTTGTAGAGTAATATGTAGTTGTAGATGATAGATGATAGTTGTATGAATAATGATAGTGGCAGATGATAAAATAGGGATCATGAAAATGAAGTTTTGCTACATGGAGAAGCTGAAGATATTGGTGGGTAAAAGAAAATTGAAAATATCAGGTTTAGGGCGTGGATTTAATAATTAAAATCAATTCACCTGCGCTATAAGTCGTTGCAAATCTTCGTTTTCGCTCAGTAATTTTTGATATTTTTCCTCTTCCTCTTTTGATAGACCAGGGTCTGGGTTGTACTTACTTTCAGCCTTATCTTTTGGATGTCTTATTACCTCAATAACCTGCAATGAGACATTATTGCACTTTAACGGAGGGAAAAAAAGGAGTGCAAGTAAACTAAAACATTCAAAAAAAAGCCTTTTAATAAGGCCTCCTTCTTTATTTATAACAATAAGTGTCGATGAACAAATTTTACCTTATTCGCCATGCTACATTTTCATTTTAAATAGCACTTCTTTTTCCTCTCGAGTATAACAATTCAAAACGCAGAAAATAGTATAATTAGTTGTTTCATGTAGAAATGCGGTGGGTAAACACAAATAAATCCCGTTTCTTTTAAAGCCTCATTATTTTTAATTGAAACATCCCGAGCATTATTTGCCGGAATGTTATTATATTCGAGTTACAGAGCAATTGCCGTTCGAGAAAATAAACTGCGGTCGAAATGTGATTTCATTGATTTTCACCGGTGCGTTAAATCTTTGTTTGCGCTGGCTCGACTTCGGCAAAAATAACGTTCCAAAATGTTTTGTTGTTTTACCGAATGGAAGTACCGAAAATAATCCTCGCTCCGGTAAATTTAAAGAACGTTGAAAAAGCAATTAATTACGGTTCGAAATAGGGGAAACATTTCGTAATTGGGAATATTAGAGGCCGGGCGAACGCCGAAGGAAAAATATAAAAAAAAAAATGGAGGCACACAGTGGACGGGAATCCCTTTTTTTTTCGACGTAAATCGACTAATTAAATATTCCGCCTTCCGAATTCTTTTTTTCTTTACTTAATACTTAATTAAGACCTTCGGTCGTTAATTATATAAGGGAGCGAATATTCTCCGAGAGTGCTGTTTATATTATAATCGAAACGAATCGGTTCGCTTTAATTCGGAAATTCGATTCAATTAATTCTTCGAAACTTCGCAGGAATATACAAGGTGTTAATTAATTGTATGCCGATACTTCAGGATGTGAATATTTGAATGATTTTAAGAAGAAAAGTTTATATCAATGTATGTCCTAAACCTCTTAGTTTTCGAGCTACAGGGTGTTAAAATTTTAGGAAAAAAAAACTTTTCTATCATAATTTTCTTATTACGGCAGATATTTTTATGAAATTTCGGACGTGGACGTCACTGATAATGGTAGAAAATTAATTTTTATCCAAAAAAAAGTGTTTCCATGCATGGTGGGCGCCTATCAAATTTCAACAAAATATCAAAAGAAGTCTCAAAATGAACTTGGGAAAAAATGGTTTTAGTATTTATTTTTTTACGCGAAAATGGTGCGTCGTACGAAAATAAGTCTTCTGACCGAATTTGCTACAAAATAAATTAGGATTTTAAGAATAATTTTACTTTTTATAAAAAGCAGTGGTGTACCATTTTTTTTTCAAACATATACAGTTCAAACCCCGTACGGACGTCACTGGTGAATATTTAAAAAAAATCTTATGCCTCAAAAAATGCTCCTTAATAATTAAAAAGTGTATACAACATTTCTTAAAATTAACTGAAGTAATAAGAAAATTATGATAGAAAAGTTATTTTTTTTCTATAATTTTAGCACACTGTAGCTCGAAAACTAAGAGGTTTAGAACATACATTGATATAAACTTTTCTTCTTAAAATCAAGCAAATATTCACATCCTGAAGTATCGGCATTCAATTATTTAATACCCTATATTAAAATTTTCTTTGGTAAATAAAGAGATTTAAAATCGACCAATCCCAGTAGGAATTCAAATCCACAAAAATGACGTGAATTAGTTATACACCAATTTGACATTATTGAAAGATTCTATTCACTTTTTACTTTTAAGGTTAACAAAAGCTACCAAAATCAGCTGTAACTATTGATCAAAGATTTGCTTCCAAATCGATCATTCAGGAGCTTCGTCGTGCTGATATCAAATCTACAGAATGTTTTATCGCTTCAAAAGTGGTTCGAATCGAATGATTTTTTGATCGATTTTTTGATCGATTTTTTGATCGATTTTAAAGCAAATCTTTGATCAATAATTACAGCTGATTTTGGCAACTAAGGGGTTTAGAACATTGATATAAACTTTTCTTCTTAAAATCAATCAAATATTCACATCCTGAAGTATCGGCATTCAATTAATTAACACCCTATATTTTTAATGACAAATATGATCGATTTTAATAAGAAAAAAACGAAATATAACAACAATTTGCGGGTGTATACAAACCTTAGGCACAAAGATGAGGGCCATGCTGAGGAAACAGCAAAAAACTATAGCTAATGCGACGAAAGTGTAACTGGCGTCTTGTTGACTACCTATCACCATAATGACGGGAGCAGTAATCAGGCACAGTATCACAACGTTGTAAATGCTCATACCGACATATCTCGAATCGTTTATCTGTTTTACTTTCATCGATCTCGTCTCGTAGGCGAGGAACAAGCCGAATATCTAAAAAAAAGAAAACACCCCAAACGTACACACAATACTTAAATAATTCTTAACAGTACAAAAACAGTATAAAAAATGTATAACGAATAAACCGGTAAGAGGTTTCTGGTCTTTTTTTTTACTGGATATATCGGGAAATAGCCGGGGTATCATAAACTCAGACACGTTTCCAGCAAATGTCGATGGCTAACAGCGTACGAGACCACAGCTCGCACTTAAAATCTTATAGCTTATTCCAGTCGCAATATGCTGAATGCAAGGTAAATCTGCATTTTATGCAAACGTCTACGTATAGGTTCGCAATATTTCGGTTCAACGGAACATTACACTCGTCGCATTTTATTATATATTCCGCTCCACGATTATATTGTAACAGATTAGGTAGAAAATCGTCCGCAGATGCTAAATGCGGCAACGTGGGAAAGGGAAATTGGAAATACCTCTTAACAAGTGTACCTTTAAATGGAGACTTTTTCCTTTATTTTTTTATAAAACTACGTATTCTTATGAAGTCATTGATGAAAATTTTAATTTTTTCCGTTTTCTATTAATGCCACAATTAATTCTTAAAGTTTGAAAACTCAGTCAGGAAACTAATTTGAGTTCTAATGACTTTATTTCTTTCATACATGGTGGCCCAGAACTCACGCCCCACCGGGAAATGTCTTATGGAAACCACAATTGAGATGCCAAAACTACAGCCAAAAACATGAAAAAGTTATTCTTTTGGTAAATAAAGAGATTTAAGGAATTTCCGTATCAAATTTTCTTTGGCTTAAATTTTATATTAGGAACAAGATATCGAGTTGCGGTTTTCGCTAGCTTGTTTATGCATTATTTAGCTAATTATTCATGGAAAAAAATCATACCAATGCATTTAATTTTTTTGAGAAAATTAACCATTTCTGTCGGAATGTCGAAAAAAGCGCTCTACTAGCGACACGTGAATCTAACAAAACTTTAAATATTATAACTTTTGTAGCCCAAGAATAGCTCTTTTCAACAACCCCTAGTTTGTTCAAATCAGCTCAGCTGTTTCGAAGATACAGGGTGTTTTTTAGGGAAACTTTTGAAAAACACTACTTTATTTTTAGAGATACAGCAAAAATTGTTAAACAAAAAAGGTTCATATTATACTCGATTTTAAAGATCTGGTGTTTATTTGTTAGGTTAATATAGCGGAATTCATAGAAATATCACTTTTTTAGTTTCAATATTGCAGTTACACCCCCTAGAGGTCAGTTAAGAAACTTGAAAATATTTTCCAGGTTTTTCTCTTGGCCGTTTTAGTAATAACTCTTTTTACCGCAATCCTCTACGATGTATAGTTTCCCAGATACAGTACCTCGCAATCTTAATTGGCCACCCTGTACATCGCGATGTTTAGGAACACTCTGTATATCTGTTTAAAAACCGTACATCCCACATCGTACTCCTCTCCATTGCGAAACGTAAAATTGCAACTCGATTTTCCCATAAATTTGTTTCACTTAGGTGTGAGACGTGCAAGAAGATAAACGAGATGATTTGGTTCGGAAAATTCGAATAATAATTCAAAATACGCCGCGATTTTGGCAAGTCTGCAAGTTAAGTTCGCAAGCTCTAATACGGCTGAAATTAATAATCGATAATAATCCGGTTAGCGGCTGACCAGTATCTAATATCGAAAGGGAGTTAGGATGGAGTTACATTAAAATTTTCACAGCCCTTCACTAACGACCATTCTTGGAACTCATCAACCAGATAAAAACAAATCTCTTGGATAAACTCCGCGGGAAATGGCGAAAAACATGCCGTATTTTTTCTTCGGCCGCTCCAGAAATAACGAGAGCAGTTGTCCGGAAAAATAAAACACGACTGCTTTATTTACACAATAATTCCTGCAACTGTCTCCGGCTATTTATTAGCGCCGATAGAGCTCGGGCTCAAATTGTCTGAGATTGCTATTAATTTTAAGTGGATTTCTCTATTAGTTCCTTTTAGCAGAAGCCCGTAATCGGTCGAGTCGGGTGGATAAGGTTCGGGATTCTTATAAGTGGCTATAAGTCGCGCCAACTTCCAACAAGATGGATAAAACTTGTTATGTCACGATTACGCTTTCATCCGTTACCTTCGCTGTTTAAGTTTTGGATCGAAGATGATATTATCAACATTTATAATGCGATAAGTATAGTGCGGTTTATTTAGCAAGAGTAGTAAATTAGAAGGAAATATCGAGAATATTAATGTGATTTGACTTACCAAAACTAGTCCTTTATAAGCGCACATAACGGATAGCCAGACGTTGTTGTTTTGGCTTTCGCAGTGCTCGAGTTCCGGTCGAATTTGGGCGTCGTCTAGTGCTGAAACCGGCGCTTCTAATGGAAAAATTTCGATCCGCCGCTGGAGCGGATCGGACAATTGCCATGTAAACATAATAACGAAGTCTATCATCAACAGGCCTGACACCATGGAGTACAATTTCCACGGTTGTACTTTTTTCTAAAAATAAAACCAAACAAATTTTCACGTTTCCATCGGACTAAAAAAATCGAATTTATAATAAGGTTTACGATTTACGTCCTGTCGTCGTAGCGAGCTTACAAATAAAGCTTTTATGTGAAACTCTCGAAACTTTATACAAGTTTATACCGCTTCGACAATGTGTACCTGTTCGAAAGAGCAATTTCGAACAATGGAACATCTGTTGATTTGTCCACAACTACAAAATCCCCCGCGTGTCACCAGAGAATCCCTGCAGTTGCGCTCAAACTATATTCAAAACCCGAATTTTGGGATTCCTTGTAATTTGTACTTTTCATTAAATCGTGTTTGTTTGGGATATTCGGTTAAAGTTTGGATTGTGGATGTAGCATATGTAATATAAATTGGTTTATAATATTGGCTTAATCGAAAAAGTTCTATACTCTATTTCCAAAATAGTAGGCACTAAATTCTCGGAAATATTGTCGCTTTTCTTATTTATTACATAATCCTTGCTCTTCTAATTATTAGTCTCCTGCTGATTTTCCCGTCAAACACAATTGTAGCCTACGATATTTTCCGTACGCCACTGGGAGAGCCCCATTATCTCAATCATTTCTGAGAATTAAGTGCCTACTATTTTGTAATTAGTGTATAATTCAATTAACAACAATCAAATTATACAAAAATTTAAACCGACTGTAATAAAATATAAATTAGCAATTATCTATTATACAAACTAACTTACCATTCGAACTTTAGGATCACTTTTCGCTTTAGTCGTTAGTCTATGGACTCGCCAAACTTTACTGAACATTGCGCCAAATGATAGGGTAAATCCTGTGGAAAGGACCCAGGCTTTAGTTTGACATATAATGGGAAATGATTCCGGACTAACGAATCTACCGTCCAGGCCGAGCAAAAATACGGCAGCCAAACAAACGATGATTCCGATTAACATGATGGTGTTACATACCGGATGAGACGATTGAATCACCCTAAAACATCGAAGGGAAAAGTTAATATTTAAATTTTAATACTCCATCGATATATTGAAGCCATGCTGTATAACTTTCGGGAGATTTAGTGTCAGAAAAGCTCGTCTATAAACTCACCAACAATTTCATCTTAAAATTCATTTATGCAATCGGCTTAATGACTTTTGGTGTTCTAGTGCTATTAATTACAAGTTTAGAAACCTCATAAACCTCTGGATTTACAAACGTAGAGAAAACGATATCGGGATTTGGTTGGGTAAACATCGCACTAAGCCAGGCCCGAGAGATAAGCTTGAGATTTTCACTTACCGTCTGTGCTTGTTCCAAATATTAAAAGCTATTAATCCTGCAGCGACTAGAATTCCTATGCTTGATATTATGCACATGCATATAAATAGCGGTAGGGAAACTGTTCTCAATACTCTTCTTATGATCGTTCTATCTTGAGGAACTTTACCACCTAGGCGTAAATAAAATAATTTTCGTTAGTTTTATTAAAAAAATAGATAAGGTAGACTGGGGCAAATCGGTTGTAAAATTTGAATAGTTTAAATTAAATCCTAAAATGTGGCTTTATTTTTTCTCTTATTAGAAATGCTGATACCACATTAAATTCACAACTTCCTAAACTAAAGAATCGAGGTATTAAAAAGTTTTTTTGAAAAAGTAAGAAAACGATTTTACATATTTTTTTAAATGTTGACAATATGTTACATTTACCCCATGGTGCGGGGTAAATGTAACAAACGGTTCTAAAATGCAATACAATTATATAGAAAAACATATGGGGCAATTGTAAAAAAATATTTGGTTCCTCTAAAATTTGATATGCTGTTTATTTATTTATTTCAAAAAATAACAGAGCTACAAAATAATAAAGAAAAAATAAGAAACAAACCCTATCTAATGCACAAAAGAACTATAAATATAATAAAAACATTAACATAATAGGTAAAAATATTACATTTACCCCATTTTTACATTTGCCCCAGTCTACCTGACTTATTTAGTTGAATTATCCCTAGTAATAAAATATTATAATACCGTTAAAACAATAAGAACATCCTTCTAATAACATTATTTCCTTATAGTATCGTTACAAATCTCTAATCCTGTTTAGGTTCATTTCGCTTTCATGACGTCCTCACTTAACAATCCATATTTCCTAACACCGCATTTCTAGTGCGCTGATAGCGCATTAAAAGTTAATAACCCCAGCGCCCCGCTCGGCTGCCGAGCGTATCATTTATAGGAGTAAGTTATTTAACTAGAGCACTTATCTTTCGGTCGACGGATCTCCTGCTAACTTCCAGCATAAGCGACGAATTTTTAATTAACCACTTAACGAAATCGTAAATTAAACAATATAAATTTCCACGGACGAGTTACCGGCAAGCGACTGTATACAGATTGTTCTAATTTACATGGAAGTTTAAAATTTTGCTCGTTGATTTTTTTTTTGTTACGAAGAGGTTGTAGAGCGAATTGTATAGCAGGTAAGATCCCTCACATCTTGACGTTCGTTTCCCTTTTTAATCGAGTTAATTTGCGAAATAGAGCGAGGCTCTATCTTCTTAGTAAATATGTAAATTGGGTTTGTCCGGAAATAGACTTTTCGGTGAATGGTGTGGAACTTTGATAGCACTGCCTTCAACATAGTCGAACACAATTTCCCAAGTTAATAGGCTAAACTGTTCCGATAAAACACAGCTAGAATTTGTTTTAATGAGTTTTCCCCTACGAGCAATTTGTAAATCATAATGCTATTGTTTGTATATTAATTCAATAGTGAGGTGTAATTTGGGAACAAAAAATATTTGATTGTACTTAATTGTAGAATATTGCAATGGATTGTTGCATATATTCATTGAATGATGTAGAAATAAATAAAATAAACAATGATTGCCATAGAAACTAGACTAAATTAGCAATAGTAGGTATATTGTACATTCTCGATTAACTTGTTGCGGCGAATATGCAAATTCGATGAATAGGTAGCCGCTCAACAACCGAATGTGATGATAAATAACAACTTTATCCCCATATAATCCGAAATACCTATTAAACTTTTCGCATGGAAAAGTTAGGTTTATTAAAACAGAACTATCATAAATATTTAAATGGTAATTATCATAAAATCAATACAGCCTTTATTCGATTTTGAGTTGTTCGACTGTTGCATCAAATGTTGGGGTCGATTGGTTTAAAATAACACTCTCCTATCGTATCGTGTAAACTTGCTAAAATAATGCCGCCGTAAAAGCGCATGTTAATTCAACATTTACACATACCCTGTACAATTTGAGAGTATATCCTGTTTTTTTCCAAAAAACAAATATACTTAGGTAGGTTCTGAATTTTCCAAAAACCCACGACGGATATTAAACCAAGCAGTAAAGCGAATTTCGTTATCATTCCAACGTACGAAGGCACTTTATGTAAACGAAAAGGTATATTTGCAGAGAAAATGAAGCCGGGCTATACGAACTACCTTCGCTATCAAATAACATTACCGGGACCATGTACAAATTGTGTTCACTGGAGTCCCCCGAATAACCGAATTAACGGTATAGGTATGTAGAGAAGGTATTGCTGATACAATTTCACTATACACTACCGTATATGAAACATCAATATATTTTAATCGGGTTATGTTTAAGACAGTAATAAGTACACGTTTCTATAGAACGGTATAACGTTATATACTCGTAACGACCCTCTACGTTTCGTAATTACTGGAGATATATTTATCAAAATAATTAGAGCGGTTCGTAATTTTAATACAAGGTGTCTAGAGGAAAACAGTAAATGGATTTACATATTTTAATTCCTCTTAAATAATTGAAAATTAGGCATATACAGGCATATACATACAGGGTGTTAATTAATTGAATTCCGATACTTCAGGATGTGAATATTTGATTGATTTTAAGAAGAAAAGTTTATATCAATGTATGTCCTAAACCTCTTAGTTTTCGAGCTACAGGGTGTTAAAATTAAAAAAAAAATAACTTTCTAAATAAAAAATAACTCTATCATAATTTTCTTATTACTCCAGTTATTTTTATGAAATTTCGGACGTGGACGTCACTGATAATAGTAGAAAATTAATTTTTATCCTAAAAAAAGTGTTTTCATGCATGGGAGCGCCTATCAAATTTCAACAAAACATCAAAAGCAGTCTCAAAATGAACTTGGGAAAAATGGTTTTGGTTTTTATTTTTTTACGCGAAAATGCTGCGTTGTACGAAAATAAGTTTTCTGACCGAATTTGCTACAAAATAAATGTGGGTTTTAAAAATAATTTTAGTTTTTAGAAAAAGCAGTGGTGTACCATTTTTTTAAACATATTCAGTTCAAACCCCGCGCGGAGGTCACTGGTGAAAATTTAAAAAATCTTAACCCTCAAAAAATGCCCCTAAATAATTAAAAAGTGTATACAAAATTTCTTAAAAATAACTGGAGTAGGTAATAAGAAAATGATGATAGAAAAGTTATTTTTTTTTCTAAAATTTTAGCACCCTGTAGCTCGAAAACTAAGAGGTTTAGAACATACATTGATATAAACTTTTCTTCTTAAAATCAATCAAATATTCAGATCTTGAAGTATCGGCATTCAATTAATTTACACCCTATATATTCCGAACAGTCGATTAAAAATTTATGTTTTTAACTTCAAAAGCAGCTCTACTCTATTAACAGAACAAATACCTAAATACATCTGGCAGTTTAAAACATATACACCCTATACATACGTACGGTAAGCTGTTAATTTACCCGGTGTTTGTAATTATCGTTGCGATTTCCACGAGGCAAAGTAAAAACGAGGTGTACCTTTGAAAAAGCAATATCAACTTTCAAGTGATTATAATCACTAAAAAAACTTCAGTCGTTTCCACTCATCCGGAATTATCGCAGTGCCTGCTATCAAAAAGAATAACTTTGAAGTGAAAAGAGCTGAAAGCAAAGCGCAGGGAAGGCGTTTTCTAAATAAAAATAATCATAAAAAAAAGCGATTCGTTTTTCGCGAATTTTTCCGGGATAAATTTCAAAGGGTTTGCTTATCTCGCGTACAAAACGTTTTCCGCCGTTTCAGTTTTCCATTCAAATATCACATAAAATCTCTAAATTCTAACGTACATTAGACATCATTACCAATAATTGACCTAATTATACAGTGTGTCCACGGATGGGGTTGCCTATAGGAGAAAAATTTTTATTATTCATTTTACGACAAAAAGTCATTGTTTATAAAAATTTTTGCTTCTTTTAAAAATGAGAATAACACTGAAAAATCTTAGATTGGGTCTACAGGGTGTTGCCAAATTAAGAAGACATGAAAATACCTCAAGAGAGAAGTACCATTATTTTTTATTTTACACAAAATTTTTATAAAGGAAAGTTGTTTATAATCTAAAATAAAGCCTGAACACAAATTTTCAAATTAAAATTCCAATTTTGTGTGTCCACGGATGGAGTTGACCAGAGGAGAAAATGATTATTAATTTTACGAAAAAAAAGTAATTCTTTATAAAAAAAAGAGCATTAAAAGAGAGATTAAAAGCATTTTTTTGTAAATAATAATGTAAGATAATAAATAAATTCTTTCTTTATGTAAGATAATAAAAATTCTTTCGTTCTTTCTTGACATTTTTTCCTGTTTCTTAATTTACTAACACCCTATACGTCTTATTTAATGTTTTGATATGTGAATTTCATTTTCTCGACAAGTTAATTTTTTTATAAAGAATGGCTTTTCGTCGTAAAATTAATAATAACCATTTTTCTTATCTGGTCAACTTTATCTAGGGACACACAAAATTTGAATTTAAGTTTGCAAATTTGTATTCAGGCTTTGTTTTAGATTATAAACAACTTTCTTTCATACAAATTTTGTGTAAAATAAAAAATAATGGTACTTCCCTCTTGAGGTATTTTCATGTTTTCTTAATTTGACAACACCCTGTAGATCCAATCTAAGATTTTTCAGTGTTATTCTCATTTTTAAAAGAAGCAAACATTTTTATAAACAATGACTTTTTGTCGTAAAATGAATAATAAAAATTTTTCTCCTATAGGCAACCCCATCCGTGGACACACTGTATTTCCAAAAAAATCCCTTAATAATATGAATATTTTCCTTATACGTCAACATAACGTAACCATACGTTATTATAACGTAACTTGACAAAGAAAAATATTTTAATAGTACCTAAACTTTATGAATAAAAAATAATAAGTAATAATAATCCTGCTGTTGACTTACCCTGCCATACTTCCCTGCCGAACCACGTGAGATTGTCGGCCTGCGTATCATAATAACCCAGGACGACGTAGCTGCCGTTTATGACTTGTTCTATCTGAGTCAACGCTATCCTGTCGCCCTGCGAGCTGAACGCGACGAAGCCCTGAAATGACGAAAAAAAAAAACCGTTCATTTGCTGATTCCAGCCTTCAAGTTCCTCCAACATTTGTCGTCTTTTCGATTTAACGTAAGAGGAGCTTAAGTCGCAAAAAAGGGGATATATATTCGCATTGAAGGCTAAGTTGGATGCCATTATAAGGAATTGGAGGCTATTATTCCGGCCTCCATGAAACCCTCGAGGAGGATATGTCTCGGATTTGGGGGATTTTATTACGCGAATCATCGCTAATTGGACGCATTGCACATTATTTGTACCGTTTCCAATTCGCCTTTTCCATTGTGCGATTAATCTACCTCGTGCGGGATACTTAAAAGGATTTATTATTAGCGGAAATTTCGTTTGTGGGTAGATATGTTAATAATACACGAATTTAATTTCGTGGAATAAAAAGTGAATTAACTGATACCGTTCCGAATGAAATACTTCTATAATAATCTGTTATTTAGAATTTCTATTACAAATTGTGTAGGAAATACCTGCAGGGTAATTTTTGGAAATCCTCGCTACAAAATCGGATTACATTCCGAGACAACGCCGGATGAAACTTTGAAAGAAGAATTGGGAAGCCAATGAAATCCAATTAATCCGAGCCAATAATACAATCGTTGTATAAATTCAATTCAGAATTGTTTTCTCTACGATAATTTCCATTTATCTGGAGATTCGATTCGCTTCGGAGAAAAAATTGGACAATTTGGACTCCAACTAATTCTTCGAGATGGCAGATCCAAAAACAACTTCCCGGATATGTGACTTATCGATTTCGATCGTCGACTAGTAAACACATTTTCTACAGTTAAGTTGGATAAATCTATATCTGACGAACATTCTCGATATCATATTTTATACGAGCGTAAAAGCTGAGGAAAACAGGATTTGATCTACGACAGATGCGCTTCAAGAGCCACCACTATTATCTTATCCCAAACAAAATGAAACCGCCTTTGACAAGAACGGAAGACTTGAAAGAAAATCACTATCAACAGATAAAGCCTCTATATACCTACTAAGCAAAATCCAAATATTTACATTGACGATTTACATTTACATCCACGATGACAGCGAGTAACTCGCTTCGCAAGCTCGATACGAGCGCACGCAAACATTTACTGGGACTAAATTAGATTAATAATAAAATTGAAACCGGTAATATTAGTTTAGCCCTAATGAAACGAAACCATTCTTCAAAATAACCGTAACGAATATTATTAAAAATAACGTTCCGCGAGGGTCGCATAAAACGGCCGCACTTGAATATTTAATTTCCAGTTATTTCGGAAGTTTTACGAGTTAATTAAGCGAAATTAAATTTTATGTCGTCGGATTCGTTAGCTGAATTTCATTCGCAACCGCAAAGATCTCGCGGAAATTAACGGATTAAGGAATAAAATAAACAGGAAAACGTCACCTAAACAAATATTTTTTTCTTATCGTACAATCTACCACACCCGCGTGAACCTAGCACCCCCACCATCAAAAAAAAAATCGTACATCATAATTTAATGCTATTTTAGTGCTAATTTAGTGCCCACTTCCTAATTTTAGTGCTCGTCTGGTTGAGCAGAAAATTGCGATTGAAAATGGCGGTGCTAAGTTTATAAAGCTAGCACCCCCACATTTTAATATTTAAACCAAATTAAAAAATAATATATCGGAATTTAGTGCTATTTTAGTGCTTTCGAATGCACTACTCAGAATTTCAGTTAAGGTAATTAATCTTAAAGATACTTGATAAAAACGTATTGGAGTCAATAGAAAAATAGATGAACATAGAAAAAATAGATTTAAACATAGTAATAGGGAAACGATTTTGATCTCTAATGTTTCAATGATTTTAGTGCTTTTAAAGTAGGTTATTTCAAATTTTAGTGCTCAACCCTTAAACCCAAAAAATCATGTTTTTACCATTTTGTAGTCTGATCTCCAAGAGTAAAAATGTGATTTTTTGGGTTTAAGGGTTGAGCACTAAAATCTGACTTTAGCCATCTTAAAAGCACTAAAATGAACAAAGAATATGAAACAAAAATCATTTTTCTATCTATATTTTTAATGATACTTTACTCTTGGATGTCAGACTACAAAATAGTAAAAATGCTATTTTTTTGGGTTTAAGGGTTGAGCACTAAAATCTGACTTTAGCCATCTTAAAAGCACTAAAATGAACAAAGAATATGAAACAAAAATCATTTTTCTATCTATATTTTTAATGATACTTTACTCTTGGATGTCAGACTACAAAATAGTAAAAATGTGATTTTTTTGGATTTAAGGGTTGAGCACTAAAATCTGACTAGCTATCTTAAAAGCTCTAAAATGAACAAAGAATATGAAACATAAATCATTTTTCTATCTACATTTTTAATGATACTTTACTCTTGGATGTCAGACTACAAAATAGTGAAAATGTGATTTTTTGGGTTTAAGGGTTGAGCACTAAAATCTGACTTTAGCTATCTTAAAAGCACTAAAATGAACAAAGAATATAAAAAAAATCATTTTCCTATCTATATTTTTAATGATACTTTATTCTTGGATGTCAGACTATACAAAATAGTAAAAATGTGATTTTTTTGGGTTTATGGGTTGAGCACTAAAATCTGACTTTAGCTATCTTAAAAGCACTAAAATCATTGAAAAATTAGAGATCGAAATCGTTTCCCTATTACTATGTTTATCTGTTTTTCAATTGACTACAAATACGTTTTTATCAAATATCTGAAATTCTGAGTAGTGCATTCGAAAGCAATAAAATAGCACTAAATTCCGATATAATATTTTTTAATTTGGTTTAAATATTTAAATGTGGGGGTGCTAGCTTTATAAACTTAGCACCGCCATTTTCAATCGCAATTTTCTGCTCAACCAGACGAGCACTAAAATTAGAAAGTGAGCACTAAATTAGCACTAAAATAGCACTAAATTATGATGTATGATTTTTTATTTTTTTTGATAGTTCACGCTAGGTTCACGCGGGTATCTACCACTTACTTCGGAAAATCGAATTGTATTTGATGCGGCCCGCCAATGAGTATTATACGCCGAAAATTCGGATTAGATTTACGTTTACCATCTAGTGGCGGAGCTTTCGAAATTCGAGCCAAGCCGGCACGAGGAGCTGGGCTACGTGCAATTATATTAACGACTAGAGACCCCAATTTCACCGGGACGTATTCCTCCTCCTTTTTGAATCGCATATTCGTCGAGTTAATGAAAAGTCGACGGGATCGAGGAAAACGAGATGCCGTCGGCGGAGCCGCGTCCTCTCTCCGCGGTTGTGACGGATTAAGACACCGAAATGTACCAAATTGAATTGCCGTGTCGTCAAAGAAATTTATGAATCGTATTTTTATGCGATAAAAAGGAATTAGAAAATAATTTAATATCCCGTTCGCAGTCAGTTTGTCGAATGTTAATTTCGCGGATGTCCGCAGAATTTTATCGTTTTCACGAAGCCGATTTAAAGAAGAACAAAAACACTAGTGATTTATAGCTAAAATAATTCAATTTATAATGATTTATAACAACCTATTTATAACGTAGATAAATTTAAAGCACTTTTGCGTTACCGTGACACGTTGACGATCACTCCAAAACTCATATTAAAAAGCAGTTGCATGCAAACCGATAATTCCATTATAAAATTTGCAAAATTTCAAACTATAAATCCGAAATTTTGCGAAACTTTCCAGGCGCAGAAAAGACAAACTCCGGCTTTTTGAAGCGAAATTCGCCGGCGGCGCGAACGGCAAAGGCGCGGCAGTTTATACAAAAGTCGAGTTAATTGCTCGAGATTAAATGAAATACATTTTAATATACTGCCTCTCTTCTTTTTGTATTCCGCTAGCCCGATCCTCGAACCTTTGATATCGCCCGTTACCTCGAAAGGGGTCGAATTTGCTCGCGCAAATGAAGGCGAAACTCAAATTGATTCGATTAAACGCGAAACGGTACAAGGAGAATACAAACTGCGCGACAATTAAAACGAATTTTTATTTATTGTTAAATTCATTTTTCCTGCGACCTATTTAAGCAAAGATTTTTACCCCATGATTATCGAGGAAAGAATTATGCCCAATTTCTCCAAAGCATCTTGTGATTAAAACTAATCACATGATAAAAATATATCACAAGTCTTTCCTACATCGTTTCCCCAATATAAATCCTTATCCTGTGGTAAGGCTAGGATAAGGTGCCCAATTTTGATGACTTGTGATCAGCTTTTGCTTTATAACCGAGTTTTGTTTCTTTTGTGCTGCTTTTTTCAAAAATTTAAATATGGATCGTAAATCATAACGTTGATGAAACAGTTAATGTAGTAGATGTTGTAGTTGTTGTAGAGGTTCATAAAAATGGCATGCTTTAGAAAATGTTGTTTATTTCAAGGATTTTGTTTTTTGGAGAAATTTTATTATGAGTTTTTCTAAATGGTTTAAAATTTTTCACACTCATGATAAGGCGCGGAATCTTTGGGGAAACAGTACAGCGTGCAAAAAATTGGCATAAGACAATTAAGAGATGCAAAAGACTGTTAAAAGGTACCCAAAATAGTTGAGAGATGCATATAGAACAGTGGGAAGATATGAAGATCCTTCTTGAGAAGTACACAAAACAGTTGAGAGAATAGCGAGTGTAGAGGTCAATTTTAAATCACCCAACATTCCTATATAAAAAATTAATGCCATTGGTTACACCACATAATGTAACAACTTGGGAATGCGAAGAAAAATCGCGCGGTTGTCCTTCGAGATGATCGTTCAATAACACCTCCCTGTCTCATTTGTTAGCGCTTGACAAACCAATAAATTTCGGTGTCAGGTGTACAGAGTTTAACCAATTCCGGTAATCGACTGTCGGATAAAAACTTTGCGAACTCCGAACCCTAACGTTGAGACAAAAAAAAAATGTTCTTCGACGAAGAGGACGAAAATAGTTGGAAGCGAGTGCAAAAGTCGATTGTGAGAAGCGTCGACAGCTATTAAATCGTGCTTGCTTAAACACCGCGGAGAGACGAGTTTTCTAACAACAAGATATTTGTTAATGGGGTGCTCTAAAGGAGTAAAAAATAAAGGAAGACATCACCGAAGATGACGTTAATCCTGATCGGGATATTTTTAGCAGGAAAACCATTTTTATAAAAAGTAGAAGTGATTATTAGAGAGTATAATCTTAGATAAAATTAGGGTAACGTTAATTTGACGTATACCAAATGTCAAAAACTTTGTTAATTCTATAAAACTTTTTTGGAATTAATTAAATTAAAATCTCGTAAACATGAAAAATTTCGAAATAGACTTACCGACACTCCTAAAAACTGCGTCGAATTGATTGCCGAGTAAATATCATCGGCGATCTCTTTGTTGTTGTAATTGAAATCCTTTAAGCTTTTCCCGTACTTGTGCAGACGATCCATTGTTTTATTGAAAGCTGCAACAAAGAGATTAGTCCTTTATTTTAAGCAGATAAATACGGCACAGAAGGAGTGAGAACCACCTACATTTAATTGACAATTTCACGTATCGATTTTTTACGTCCACCGGATTTCTTAACCGTGATTTATGATTTCAACACTGCCTTTGTTATGTATCAACAAAAAATTCGATCACGCGACGTTTTTTGTAAAGTTGTATCGTAAATATTTGCTTTCTAACCTCACGTAATGACTAAAGAAAATGTGTAAAACAAGCCTCCTAAAAATGTACCTTTTGGCAAATTAATAGTGCCTATACAGGGTGTCTAGAAAACGGATGTCAATAATTCGGGAGCGTATAAATGACATCAAAATAAGGGCACAACTTCATATACATTTTATTAATTTGAGCCCCCATTTTTGAGCTAGAGACCTTTAAAGTTGAAAATTTAAAACTTATTTTAATGTTTTTTTTTTCTAAGTTATACATGGGAACAAAATAAAATTTTTGTGGTTCATTGCATACCCCGTGTGCCCAATTTGGTGATAAAATGAATTCTACACTATTCTCTGAAAGACAGTGGCGGCGTGTTCCCAGTGGTTAACAATTCGTAACTTTTATGGGGACAATCTGTATAACACAAAGGTATCGTAAATATATTCTTTAATCGAAAAACTAACAAAAATTTACTATTGTTTGAAGTCGATAAAATTAACGGTTTAAGAGAAATTTCAATTTTTAAATCAGGATGTTAAAAAAATTGTCAAACGAAAGATTATAATAAATGTTCGATATGGGAACCCTTTGGTTGAAAACACTTATGAAACACTTATGAAACATACGGAAAATATTTATTTATACTCTAAAAGGCAATTATTGATTTTACAATGAAAAATTATTCTGTCCATTAAATTTATCTCTTGATTTAGTGGAATTTCGTCTAAAAGAGGTGGTAAGTCAATCTGAAGAAATTCCAAGATCGTCTCTATTGTGGTCTTTCTATATTTTTAGTAAATAGTTACAAATAATAGGAGTTTGTCCAGAATTTTTGTTTATCCGAAAATCTCTCTTTACCTATCACCTCAATCTAAAAATTAAAATTTCTCTTAAACCGTTTTTTTATCGACTTCAAATTAAAGTACATTTTTGTTAGTTTATCGATTAAAGAATATATTTACGATACGTTTTTGTGATACAGATTGTCCCAATAAAAGATACGAATTATTAATCACTGGGCACACGCTGCCACTGTCTTCCAGAGAATAGTGTATGATTCATTTTATCACCAAATTGGGCACACGGGTGTAGGTAATAAACCACAAAAAAATTATTTTGGTCCCATGTACAACTTGGAAATAAAACCTAAAAATAAGTTTTAAATTTTCGACTTTAAAGGCCTCTAACTCAAAAATGGAGGCTCAAATTAACAAAATTTATATGAAGATATACCCTTATTTTAATGTCATTTATACGCTAAAAAATTGTTGACTTCTATTTTCTGGACACCCAGTATACGTAAATAAGAAAGAGAATTAATTTAAGTTTCACGATGATTCGCAGTAGGAAGTAGAGATGTGACAAGTTCAATGTAAATATAATCGTATCGACAAAACCAAAACAAACTTACCTCATATCCGTCCGTCGATCGAAATAACATATTAATTCATCATACCGAACGTTCTTATGATATTGCAATTTAATATACGAATACGCCATACCTAACATCAAACAGCTTTATACGTTCGAAATGGAAAAGTTTGTTAATGAAACTAAACTCTCAACTATTTCTGCAGTTAACGAATACAATGGATGAGTTCTCCCGACGTAGGTATAGAAGAAAAACGAAAAGTAACGCCGCAGTCGTTCTGATGAACTAAACTTTCCCTATACTTCCACTTGTTAACTTCATTTCTAGATTAATTGGAAAGTTTCAAGCGTTCCCGGAACGTCGACGCTTTTTTCCCGAGCTCATTCGAATGACTGCCAGATTGTTTCGTTTAACACAACGTTGATTCGTTTCGCTGAACCAACCCATCACAAACGGCACCGTTTATCCAATTTTTCTCCAAATCAAACGCTCCATCCAGGGGGCATTTATACTTGAATTAATCGGTGCCCGATTTTGAGCGCCATCTAAATTCGTCATACAGTACTGTTCTTCTTTTTCTTTTGTTTATGTTTGAGATGAGCTATTCGACTTAAACGGAAAAAATCACGACAACGAATTCGGATGAACTAGAAGAAGTCCAGTATGTTTTTGTCAAGGTGACGCGGTCGTTTATTCCAAATTTCAAAATAAATTGAATAAATTTACGTATGTTACGTTTTTGCCATTCGGCATTTTGGTTGTTTTCGTTTTTTTTTTCTAATTCGTTTGACTGTTACTGTTTGTTCAACTGTATACTGTGTTTTAATTAAAAAATTTAAGATGGTACGTAGTTGTTGTGTGCCTTAATGCACTAGATGCTAAAGATGCTACAATTAAGGTAAGATACTTTATATTCTAATATTTAAATTGCTTTTGTATGGATTCGACAAGCTTTACGTTGTATATACCTACATATTTACTAAATTCGTTCTTATTTTTGTTACAGACCAGCAAACCCGCAAAAGGTTCAAGACAATTAAGAAAACTGCCAATTTTCATTAATGAAATAAAACGGCTCATGCAGAATAAGAGCCTATCGTCCAAAGTTAAAATGCTACAGAAAAACATAAATACTTTCGAAAAAATGTTTAGCAATTTGAACGAGCAACCAAAGAATTCATCGCCAGTCAATGCCTAATTTTATATTTTATTATATATTTTATACATTTATATTATTTTCAAACGTTTTTTTTTTCACTCCATTACCTGCTATGGAGTGAAACAATTTATTTGAACAATATATTACAGGTGAATTATATTTAATTAGATAATTCACCTGTAATATGTGGTTCAAATAAATTGTTTTAATCCAACGAAATCAACCATAATTTTAAAATTCCCGCCAAAAAAAGTCATAAAAATGAAAAATTCCTGTATACACTGTTGGAAAATTATTCGCGCATAATAGGGAAATCAATGTTAAATTCTTAGCCGGCTGAAATACAGTCTACCAGTGTACATTTCAATAGAACGTCGCGATTAATTCTAATAAATTTAATTGTTCTACTGGACTTCACACCGCGTTTTGGCTTGGTTAGATTAAAAATCAAATAATTTCGACGGCTTCGACACTTCGACAGTATCAAAACGAAACGGGTTCGGATGGGTGAACGTCGAGTCGATTACAAAGAAATGAGAATTTTTAAACGATAATTTATTGAAAAAATATCACTAATATTAAAATAGAATTATGTAGATATGTCTTTTTGCCACAATGGCTTGAAAAAGAAAGTAAATTCTAAGAAAATAATAAAAAGGAAACTCCAAAAATAAACTTAAAGATTATTTTAAAACGGAAAATAAAAGAACTCTAAAAAATAGTCCACCGCTTTCTGCTAAACTATAGCCAAACCTGTCATACAGATGTCATCCCATATTACTGAGTTGAGGTATAATTCTAGCTGAAAATTGAATTATTTTTTCCCTTATTTCAACAAAATTTGTTGCTGTTTCAAAACTGTACCTACCGATACACACATTTTTTTGAAATATCCCCAAAAAACCTATTAAATGTAGTTTCTAAATAATTTTGTACCTCATACCTAACACAAATAACTTTGTACCTCTACAAATCGCGGCGTGCGATCCAGTAGAACAATTAAATTTATTAGAATTCATCGCGACGTTCTATTGAAATGTATACTGGTAGACTGGATTTCAGCCGGCTAAGAATTTAACATTGATTTCCCTATTATGCGCGAATAATTTTCCAACAGTGTATAAATTACTTCAGTACTGTATGACGAATAAAGATGGCAGCACATATTTCGGACACAAATTTTCCACGACAGTTTCCCGTCTTATTAGTATTGTTGTCTATGGCTCCATCTAAGCCAAACGCTTACCTAAAGCGACGCTCCAAACGGCGTCGTACGCCAACGGCGCCTCCTGGTACCCCTCCGGGTACCTCTGGTTGGCGATGTCGTACCCCTCGCGACGCAGCACCTCGTTCAAACGCAACCGGAAATCCTCCGACGTCATGCCGGATATTGTGCGCTCGTTGCGATTCTGATTCCACATCAACGCCTCCGTGGTGATGTGGCCCTCGGCGGCGGTCCGCATCTGCTCCACCGTGCATTCGATGCCCTCTTTCTCGATCATTATTTCGAACCAGTTGTCCTCGTACCAACCTGAAGACCAATAGAGCTTTTAAAGAACCTACTATTACTACTACTGGCTAATTCGCAGGCGAACCGTTCGGGTCAAGGTTCAGGCACTGATGCATCTAGCGGGCCTGTTATGACATTCCTGCTGCTATAATGCATCCATGGAGCCGAGTCACTCGATGAAGGCCTCGGTTCTTTTCAATGGGTGACTGTTTGTGTCTTTAAAGGACATAACAGGGACTCCAAAGGTTCGCCTGCGTTAAAGAACCTAACTTCATGCTCTCGAGCAAGAGGTCCAAGGTCGTTAGAATCTTCGTGGATGCTCATGGGCAATACCATTAGTCGTGCAAATGAGCTTTAAAGCTTTTTTTAGTGATTTAAAGATGGCTGGATTATTATGGGCAAAAAGGGTGTTAGAAGAAGCTTCTGAGTTTATATTTAAAGGACGTAAACCTGGCCCTTTCATCGGTATATACAGGGTGAGTCATGAGGAATCGTACATACTTGAACAGTGTATAGAGGCACTTAAGGTGAATATCATACGAGCATTAAAATTTTTGCCACACATTGTTTAAATTGTCAATTATCAATTAACTTTTAAGAAAAATTACACATTTAGGATAACCGAATAATTTACATTAAAATAATATTTTCTATCGTACAAATTTTAATTAAAATTAATAAAAAATTTCCAATGCTCAGGCTTTAAGAGTTACTAAATACCTTCTACATTAACCAAATGAAAATTTTGAAAAAGTGTATACAGTGTGAAATATTAAGTTTGGAAATATTTACCTCTTTTTTTTAAAAACGGTCCTGAATTTTTTTAATTCAGAATGCCAGTGTGTTGCTGGTTCAAAATGTATACTTTTACCAAAAAATGAACTAAATCGAAATAACCATCATAAAGATATGAACAAAAGAAAAATTCGTCAAAATTCATAAATCACCCTGTATCTCCTTAGAAAAGAGGCTGATGGAACTTTTAATGGTCGTATGATATTCACCTTAAGTGCCTCTACACACTGTTCAAGTATGTACGATTCCTCGCGACTCACCCTGTATACTAACGAAAGTAGATTCCTTGCACGGATTGTTCAGTCCAATCAGGTGATTAATAAATAACAGGATAAAATAAGAGTTTATAACGAATGTCTCGACCAGTTTTCGTAGTCGGGCGCGCATAAAACAACAAATTTCGAATGCGAAATGCAATTACTGTTTACTTTGGCCGTTATTACTTCCAAGTTCAATAATAAATCTTAGCTAACTGGTAGTCGTCGGGCACAATCGATGGCCGATTTAACGAATTTTCTATCAAAACAAAACCGGCGGTCCGACTTCATAACTACATCGTCTCGAGCTCGTCGCGAAAAACCACCCATATAATGGAAGATATTATATACTGCTCCACAAAAGTTAAGGAAGTTCACAAATATTGCGATAAATTTAAAAGTTACAGGTTTTTTGATCGCCAAATTTAGTATGAGTTGTAGAGGTAGGGACAAAAAATCCACTCAGATATGAAAGAAAACATTTAATTTCGCATATTTGAAAATTTGGTGATCAAAAGGTCTGTAACATTTAAAATAATCGGAAAATTTGCGAACTTCCTTAACTTTTGTGGAGCAGTTTAGTTTGTTAGACCGTCTGTTTTCGATGTTCGGGCTTCCGGGTTTACATCGATTTCAAATATTAATTGGATTATAGATTCGACGGAAGTAAACGATAGAGGAAAACGTCCCTAACATCCCCTATTTCTACTATTATTTATGGTAATTCGATGTCCTTGTTGAAAGGTCGTAGTTAGAAGAAAGATCCACGTTCGATAAACAAACATAAATGAAATAGGTAAATCTACGAAGAGGTTTTTTTTAATGCTAATGGTTTGTTTGATAAATTATATTATTGCGAGGTGCATTAGAAAGTTAAATAATAAAGCCTTTTTCATTTAATAAACCATATCATTTGCATTCGATAATGTCATTTGAGCAAATACACTCGAGAAAAAAATGCATTATCATATTATTTTACAGTATGCAAGTAATATTTAATTTTACCTCGATATGATAAGTGCAAAACTAATATAAAAGAGACAAAAATTAAAAAAAAAAGCATTTCCACTGAATTCATAATACATTTTTGTGGAACATTTCAGTGATTAGCGAACCGGATCCAAGTAGAGGCATTTGCGACCGCATTCAAAAACCAAGGGTTGAAATCCCCCCGGGGATATATCGGGCGGCATTAAATTTTCCTAAACACAACGTCGAACGGTCCTTGTTTATTCAATGCATATGACACGATATATCCCATTCCGTTATATTCCCCGTTTCGGGAGCCTTTCGATAAACAACGCGGTCGGAGGGAACGGTTTTCCATAAATTTTTGCGCCTGATGCCCCTCTTCTTGCCAATAAAATCGAACGAATGCCGAACTTTCGAACGCGATGCGGGCAAAAAAAAGGTATAATACGCTTTCATTCGACGATCTGATGAATAATTGAAAAAGCGCTTAATCGACGTTGCATTGAGACAATCGTTTAGAAACGAACTCTTATAATAATTAATTTGAAAATAAAATTACGATTATTCGCAGTATAAATAATTACCTACTGAGAGAAAATGATAAATAAGAATAAATTAGCTATACACTAATTCCAAAATAGTAGGCACTAAATTCTCAGAAATGATTGCGATAATGGGTCTCTACCAGTGGCGTACGGAAAATATCGTAGGGTACAAGTGTGTTTAACGGGAAAATCAGCAGGAGACTAATAATTAGAAGAGCAAGGATTATGTAATAAATAAGAAAAGCGACAATATTTCCGAGAATTTAGTGCCTACTATTTTGGAAATTATAGCGTATTGTTCTTCTCGCTGTAATATCCGGTTGAATTAATAACGTGAATGAAGTTCAATTAACTTTGTAGTATCGGTTATCGGTTTAACGCCTCTCATTCAGTAAATGAGTTTAATATTTGCATTCGATTCAGTATTGGATATTGAATCGATGACCATAAATTTTTTCTCGTACTATTAATATCTGCAGTAATGACCTATTTTCGTCTGTATATATACGTCCAAAGGGGAAAGAGAACAATGCGAAAATGAAATATGACAGAAAACTCAAGGAAAATAACAACGAACCATAACGACATCGTACACTACTGAATAATACATACCGATAAAAAACCATGTGTACTGTTTTCCATAAAGATTTTGCTTGTACAGTTCGCAGAGCACTCGTCTGGCGGCGACAACGTAAAAAAGTCCTACCACTATTCGAGAATCCTGCCTCCTGAGATTTCTCACAGCGTCTGTCGGATCGGAGAGAAAGGACTGTCTGGTAACAATTTCTATACCTGAAAAGAAATTTCAACGGTACAGCGAAATTTAAACGAACGAACACCGAAAATATGCAATGTCGCGAAACAGTTTAATCGGGTTTTTTCGATATTTCCCCGGGAAATAACGCCGCTCTAAAATAGCGTCATTTTTAAAGAAGTAGTAGAAGTAGTTCTTTTTCCTTTTTGCCCACTTGAACCGCAACTCCCGACAACATTCAGAATAGCTGACTCCATTTATTCCGAGTCACAAATTCCCTTTGTCGCGTCGTTTAGATCCCGTTATTCTTGGCGGAACAACTACGTTCATATAAGTTAAATAAATTTCTGAGCTTTTCCAACGCCGAAAGTGCACCCGCTGCATTTGCATTTTTATTGGCTAAGTCTCGACATTCCTCGTCGGTATTAGGAAATTCCTTTGCCGAGTGCTCGAGATCCCCGTCTTAACGCTGAGTAGGATTGCTCTTCAACTCAAAACAGTTTGTATGTATCCCCTCTAAAACGCCCTTCATATTTACAAATGTTCGAACTAAATCGAATTCTTCATGTTGGGCGGTGTTGCTACACCATTTTATCAAAGCGCGCTAATGCATTTTTAAACACTTCTACTGGATAAAGAAGATGAATGACGCTAAAGAATTTCATTACATCTGCTATAAAAGAGTCTTTTTCACTGAGAGGTCGGTTTATTACAGAGAAACTATCTTCCGAAAAATAAACCACTAAAAATTTAAGAATCCATTACTGCATAAAATCAATAAAAATAACGATTTATTTCAATCATCAGATGTAATATAATGAAATTTTCCAATTCCATTCCACATAATGGTCGCCTACGGAGAATTGGGTTACAGACGAAGAGAAACGATTTCTACTCACCGGCTTCCATACACCTTTTTTCGAGATCCTCCACGGTAGATATGAACACCTCCTCGGCTTGCTGCAAGATAGATATCCTGGACCAGTTAAACTTCTTCATCAGCTTGATCCTCGTGGGATTGTGCACGGTCGCTGAGGGATGAGTGCGAAACAGGGTCGGGAATCGGTTTCTATCTGATAGGGCGGGAGAACTCGCGCCGTAACAGAGCTAGAAAAAAAAACGATAATATTATCTACGGGAATTTTATAAGAAATATAGGTGATTGTGAGAAATCATTTATTCGCTAAGTTAATGGTTTTTTAACACCCTAATGATTCTTACGTACGTTAAAATAGCGTAACGTAGTATCTCTTTAATTCCCTCCAATAATTAGCTAAAATGAAGCAAACGAATTCGAATAACGCGGTAATTAACTCGCACTGAAAGATTAATTCGAAGAATAAAATTTTCACTTTTGTTAAGGGGTAATTGTTCTTGATAATGGCTTTAGGTTCATATTTCGAAATGAGATTTATCATACGCAAAGCTAAAGGCAATTAAATTCAACTGCAGAGATGTAAAACAGAAATCTTTAATATCGTATACTTTATGAAAGCTCGTTTCGCGATTTATCCGCTTTTCCCGCGGCATTAAATTGCCCCCGAACGGAGAGTTTCGTTCGAAAACTTTTCGGAATCGCTTTAAAAAGAGTTGATCTCTTGAAACTTGACAAATGAAACGAATTAATACGTTTTAAGAACATAGATGCTTTAACAAAGGATATTGTGTTGACATTTTTATCTCTTTAACATCATTTTATACTTACTTAACAATAATAAATCATTGGATTATTCAAAATCAAATAGAAAAAATGCTACTGTATCTACATACGCATATTTACCTTTAAGATTCTTTCATAACACATTAAATTAATTAAAACATTAAAGTGAACAAAATAACTTTTGCATAATTCGCATATGCAGGAGAAATTAGTAAAAGCCTTGCATAGGATGGTAGATCAAAAGGTGACTAGCATATAGATTAACAATTCACAGAGAAAAGAGAATGGCATTTTCATTTGTAGCGCAAAAAACAGCAAGCCCAAAAAAAAGACAAAGTCGAACTGAAAGTTTTATTCAAACGCGAGTTGGAAACTGCCTTTGAAAAGCGAAAATAGTACCTAAAACGGAAAAAGCGAATGTAAAATGATAAGTGATATTTTGGTGTGCGAGTATGTCGGATGGAAATAAATTTCCTATGTTAAATAATGCTGTAATTAATCTATCGGAATGTACATAAATTCTGATTTGTAGATTGGGATCTACAAAGTGCAAGGTCTCGGAATTGATTTTTCCAGAACTATAATTACTCATGCATTATTATTCTTTGTGAGAATTCCAGATGTGTATTTTGTTTGTTAGTCATTCACATAAATTTTAAACTGCATATGAGTCGATACGCAAATGTTGGTACTGATTTTATAATAACCATTTAAAATTCAACAACAGTTTTATTTTACGTTTTTCGTATATTCTTATTACACAATCCCGACAAACATCCCAGTTCACATTAATTCCTCGCAGAAGGATGTAGGGACAAGTCCCGAACGGGAGTTACGTACTTTAATACAAAGTTACCAGAAAGTTGGAAGTATAGGCGTTGTCAAATCTTAGGAGGAGACATTATCTATTGTTGATGGTACAAACCTTCAAGATTAGTTCCGGGAAGTTGACGAAGTTTTTAGCTAATGGGAAATTACTGCGTCATCGAGCATAAAGGTTAGTTGCGGCGTTGATTCTGTCTCGGTGGAAAGGGCAAGTTACTGAAGCATATCGGGAAATGTAAGTATGTCGAAAACAATGTAGGATGGTTATATCAATTTTTATTAGGTAAAATATCTGTATGATGTAAAGATTAATATAAGAAATAATTAGATGGTTGAGTTTGATTGCGATATCCAAATCTGCATATTCCATTTATGTAAATGGCTTTTGTATTCAAGCAATAAAGCCCGTTTCAATTAGAGACCTTCTATATGGCAACAACAAAGATAGTTCCATCGGTCAGATATTTACTATCTGATAATTCCAATATTTGCATTTAATTATAGTCTGCATTATATGCCAAACAAGGTAAATATCGACCAATTAGTCGATGTCCACACCCATCATTTGCAATATTTGTACGGACAAGTTGATATTAGTACCGACTCGCATGCCTTTTGGATAATTGTTCACCAGGTTGGGCATCACCAGCTATTTGGAATTCGAATAATTCACGTGCATTGTATTCAACAATCGCCGGATTTTTCGCACCGGTTAAGTAAACAATACCTGACTAGTGTTTGTTTTTTAAAAATCAATTCGCGACGCCGCATGTATACGCGATTGGAATATTTGCGCCGGTCCCTCCGTGCAACCTATAATGGAAATTAAGGTTTGTAATGCACCGAACGTCGAACGGTATATTCGGTTTTCGGTTTCGATCTAAATGCTACTAATTAATTAGCGGTTAGTCGCCCACACGGTGAACGTGGAGGAGTAATCATTTTTTGCCGTATTCTATCGATTTGGTTCCGAAGCAGTTCCCAGTAGGTATAAACGTTGCTAAATTTAAACTAAAATCGATGTTTTAAACCGGTTTGGAACAGTTTATAGTTTAATTAATTAAGTAGGAACGAAGCTCTATGAAGTTCTCGCCATTTAACTTAATGCACTAAATTGAATCTAGTAACTATTATTAATTAAGTAGTTAAAAAGTTGAAGCAGGAAAATGGCGGAATTGAAATTTTGGCGATTTTGGTGAAGGTATAAATTACTGCACCAAATACTTGAATAGTAAATATTCACCATAAATACTCAAGTATTTACATACGTATGTATATCATTCTTTATTTATACAGGGTGTTAATTAATTGAATGCTGATACTTCAGGATGTGAATTTAAGAAGAAAAGTTTATATCACTATATGTCTTAAACCTCTTAGTTTTTGAGCTACAGGGTGTTAAAATTTTAGAAAAAAAAAACTTTTCTATCATAATTTTCTTATTACTTCAGTTATATTTATGAAAATTCGGACGTGGATGTCAGTGATAATAGTAGAAAATTAATTTTTATCCCAAAAAAAGTGTTTCCATGCATGGTGGGCGCCTATCCAAATTTCAATAAAATATCAAAAGCACTCTCAAAATGAACTTGGGAAAAAATGGTTTTGGTTTTTATTTTTTTACGCGAAAATGGTGCGTCGTACGAAAATAAGTCTTCTGACCGAATTTGCTACAAAATAAATGAGGATTTTAAAAATAATTTTAGTTTTTAGAAAAAGCAGTGGTGTACCATTTTTTTTCAAACATATTTAGTTCAAACCTCGTACGAACGTCACTGTGAACATTTAAAAAAATCTTATTCCTTAAAAAATGCCCCTTAATAATTAAAAAGTGTATACAAAATTTCTTAAAATTAACTGGAGTAGTAAGAAAATTATGATAGAAAAGTTATTTTTTTTTCTAGAATTTTAACACTCTGTAACTCGAAAACTAAGAGGTTTAGGACATACATTGATATAAACTTTTCTTCTTAAAATCATCCAAATATTCACATCCTGAAGTATCGGTATTCAATTAATTACCACCCTATATAAATTCAATTAATCACTATAGTCATTTACTTTATTGACTGAAAATTTCGAATTTCACTAAAACACATTAAAAGAATGATTAAAACGTTTATAATTAATACAGAGAAATGTACATTTAAAATTAACCGATTTCGCCTGCTGATTTGTTAACACAGTATTTGTATAGTTTGCAAATTGTAAACAAACAATCCGCACGTTTATCGTCGAAAACACGACTGTATTTATCATTAAAAATAAACACATAAGGCTATAGAGTTTTTGCATTGTAAAAATAGCGCTACATTTTCACAAAGCTGTACGTATGTCATAAATTTACAATAAAATTTGTAAGCACCCATCTACTTCTTATAAAAAAAAGGTCATTATTAAGCATGTAGTACACCTTGACATAGGTTTCCAATACGAACACATTTATTTAGCATAAGGAACGCAGCCCCAAATGTTTCCGCATAGCTCCGGTACAAATCATCGACGTCCCGCGAGATCAAAGTTCCTCCGGCGAAATTCAATTCGTCTGCAACGCCGTCGACGAAAAGGTTCGGGATCAGACAGAATTCCGATATTCAATATTGACAGAAAGCTATCAAAAACCAACCGCGTATTCCGACTTCGCTCCTTTCCAGGATTCTTCCGTCGCAACAATGTATGTATACTTATACACACGACAGGCGTTAACAAGTCCGGAATTGCGTCTCTAAATTATTCAAATGCGGTTTCGCAGTTTTTTCGCGAGCGCTTACGAAAAATTCTAAAATTGCTTCGACTTTACCTTACTCATACAGTGCATTTCTTTAATGTCCCCCTTCCCTCTTTTATTTATTGAACGGATCAACTTAGAAAATTGAAATTTGGGATAATGAAACTAATGCATGATTACTATATTTTGGAGTAAAATTGACAGATGAAAATTTCAAGATGGCGACTGGGCGCCATATTGTGAAATAAATTTAAATGGAAAGGGGGGGTCTTGTGACACATCATTTTGAAGCTCCTGACAAATACTGTACAACCCTGGAATATAAAGTCAATATCTGCACCCATTACGAAATGGCGGATCATTTAATAAATACCTGAATACAAACAAATTAATATCAATTTTTCTAAAATTATTTGTTTTTCTATGCCAAATAGCAATCGCAACAAACCGATAAGGTTTGACAGGTTATTTTTGGTTAAAAAAATTCCAAAAAATTTAAGTACGACAACGAACATTAATTGTTTAGTCAAAATATGCTCATTTAGTTTTTGGTTTTCCTAATATTCAAAATATTCTCTTTAGTTTTTTTATTTTCCTAGTGTTCAAAGTATTTTCATTTAGTTTTCGGTTGTTTAGTTCTCATTGTAGTTAGGTAGCACGTGAACTAATTCTAAAATGGCCAATTCTCGTCCATTGGAATATGGAGCACCACCACATTACTCTAGAC